AAGCCAACACCAGCGTCTGCGACACTACAAATGCTCAACAGACGCTGTGGAGCGCGTGCCTGCATGAGCCAAACACTGTGCAGCTGGAAAGGCCCGCACTTCTCTACGCCAGTGGCCAGAACACCGAGACACTCCCATACCCCTGCAAAGAGACCTCACCGCTGGGGGCCTTCAGACAGCCCACTGCACCCCAGTCCCCCGACCCAGCCTGCTGACCTCCTCCCCACCGAGGCTCCGGCCCTCCCTCACTCACCCTCCTCCTCCAGGACCACGGGGTCCAGCTCCAGGTCGTACAGGCGGAGGCTGGGCCGGGCTGAGCGGCCCACGTCTCTGAGCTGAGGCCGGCCGGCCCTGCGGCGCAGCCTCACTGTACGGCTGTAGTACTGGGAGATGATGGCGCCGCGGCTCCGGCCTGTGGAGGCCGCTGGTCAGGGGGGGACGCGCCCCTCTTACGTAGAGGCAGGGGCTGCCCCCCCACTCCTTCCCAGGACCCATGAAAGTTCTTTCACAAGAGACCTCAAGCACCACCGGGTTCCCAAGAGCATATTTTTATCCCCGTGACGACTCCGGAGTCGTTTTTAGACCGCGGCGAGGCTGCATGGGACTGGGCTGGGCCTCCAAGCAGCAGACGGGGTGCGGTAAGAGCCAAAGAGGCCTGGCTCTGAGGTACACAGATCCCCGCCGGAAACCGCAGCCCAGCCCAGGGTCCAAAGGCAGAGGGTCCCACTCACCAATGGTGCGACTGGGCATGCTGGCCAAGATGCGGAGTGTGGCCGTGCTGTAGACAGGGGCGCCCTCGGGCCCCAGCAAGGCCTGGCGGTCACTGCCTGCCCAGCAAAAAAGACTCGTCCAGAGGTTCTACAGACACCACTGGCCGGAGATATCCCCTGCCCACCCGCTGCCCCAGGCTGCTAGGAGGAGCTTCCTGAGAGGTTGAGAGGCTCCGTGTCCGGCCCACACATCCCAGCACCCGGCCTGGGCCAGGGCAGGCGGGCTCACCTGAGGCCCCCAGGGCTCCAGCCCCCAGCACCCTCTGCTGCAGCTCCAGCCCCTCCTCGGCCACCCAGCGGCTCTGCTCCTGGATGAGCTGGTGGAAAGAGTCGTGCACTTCGCTCTCATCGTAGGGGCTGGGCTCCTGGCTGCTGTGGTGAGAATGGGGGAAGGGGCAGGAGTTCAGGCTGCGGCTGACCCAGTCCTCACCCCAGCAGCCTACCCGCTCCGAAGGGCTGAGGTCCAGACCACCTCTCCCTGGGGGTGATACATCCCAGCCCCCCAGCCCCACCTCAGAGCACTTACTCCTCTGGGTCCTGTGGGGTCTCAGGGACATTGAGGACAAAAGCCAGCGACCGGGACATATCTGCGGCCCACCCGCAGCCAGTCTGCCGACCTAGGGCAGTTCAGAGCCTGGACACAGCCTCAGGAGCCTCCCGCTGCCCGTGTGATGAGACAGAAAGCGTTACAGCAAAGTTAGCCTGGCACCCAGCTCCACTGCCCGCTCCCTGGGGACCATGGGGCGGGTGCCACTCCCAGCCCAGGCTGCCTGAGCCCCCATCCTGCCCCCATCCACACACAAACACCAAACGCGTGGCCAAGTGAGGGGCCCCAAATAATCCTCAGGCCAGAACGGATTGAGGGGGAGCTCATTCCGGAGGGAAGGAGGAAGGAAGTGAGGGGAGTCTGGGCAGCTCCCCACCGGCTTCCTCAGTGACGCCATCCCTGAGAGATGGGGAGCGGGTGGGGTGCCTGTAGATAGGTTCTCCATTCCCAGGGTTCTGACCCAGAGATGCCGCCCTCTGGGTGGGAAAGGTCAGAGCAGTTGAGACCTTCCCTGCGCCCGCCCGTGACTACACAGCACTTCCTCCCGGCCGGAAATCCCACAGACAGCTAGCAGCCTGGGCCCTCACCCCCACCAGCGCCTGACAGAACGGCAGACAGGATGGCCTCCTCGGCTGCGGCCCACCCTGCATCCCCCCCACAGGAGTCACTCCACGCCAGCCTGGGCGCGTCAATGTTGACATGCCTCCTGGGAGACTCCCCTATAGTCCATCACCTCCCGCAGGCCAGGGCAGCTGGCTGGGGGAGGGGTGCTGGGCGTTGAACAGGCAGCCTTTGTCCGGGCTCTGCCATCACCCAAGACAACTGAACCAGGGCGGCCTTGTCCAGGCTCTTCAGCCTGTGGGAGTGGGGCAAGGGCAGCAGGCTCCCAACCACCCCCTGAGTCCTGCAGGCTCTGCCCCAGGAGGACGGGGCCCAGCCCTCGGTCTGCCCTGTCCACCCCTCCTCGCTACCCTCACCCCCAGGGAACTCAGCACAGAGGAAAGCTGGCTCAGCTCAAGGGGCTTCCTCGGGCGAGGCCAGGGTGTCCAGACAGAGCAGGTCCCGCTAGAGCTGTACCCAGACAGTGCCCTCACTTAGGGGTGTCCAGTCTCTGAGCCCAGGCCGCACAGAGTCCAAGCCCCATCCCCTTCTCTCTCACAGGAGCACAGTGTGGAGAAACCAGCAGAGAGAGGTCAGAGGTGGACTCTTAACTCCGCTTGAAATGGTGAGTAGCTGGGGCTGAGGGTGTGCCCCCCAATCCAGTCCCTAGAGCTGGAATTCCCTCCTGGAAAGACAGACCTTCCCAGGTTCAGATCCGCAGGCCTCTCCCACACACCCCTTGTCCAGGAGGGAGAAGCAGGGAGATGGAAGGCGCTCAGAGGCTGCCTGGAGGATGGGGGCTCACCTGGGCACTGGCATCTGGGCACTGCCCTAGACTTCTGTCCGGCTGGTACCCAGCACCCCGGCACCCTCGCCCAGGCAGGGACAAGTCGGGCAGGAGCTCCCAGGGTGCACCATTCCTGAGCCGTGAGCCAGGTAGGGAGGGGCAGGGTGGGGCGCGTTTCCAGAAACCCCACCCCAGCCGGAAGCCAGTCCTCTGGGAGCAGCTACTGCCCAGTCAGCGCCGCGGCCCAGCCTCTGAGCCGAGGGAAGGCAGGAACTCCGAGAGACCCTGGACCCCTCATCTGCCAGTCTCCCACACGCCCACTTTTCACCAGTGGTACCCACCTGCAAACCCAGCCTCCCCACCCTTTCCCATCTCGAGAGACGCACACCACCGCCCTCTCCCCTGACGCCCGCCACCTGACTGTTGGGGTGAGCTGAGATCTTCACGTCCCCCGCCCGGACACCCCTGAGAGAGTCAACTCCGGTAGTGAACTCAGGGAGATCCAAGAGAACCCGAGGAGTCAACGCAGTGCCCAGTGGCCCCAGAGGCCCAAAGGAATTCGGAGGGGGTGGAGCTGGTGGCCGCAGGGGAATTGGATGGGGCTAGGAGGACGAGGGCGAGGTCCCTAAGCCCCGGAGCTGCGGCCCCCACCCACGACCCGGCATCCACATCCCGGCACTGGCCTGGGAGGCGCTGGGGAGGAGGGGCCCGGCGCGCGGCTCACCTGTCCCCCGCGAGGGCCGCCGGAAACTGTGTCTGGGCTCCACCAGCTGCGGGAGGGGTCGTGAGGTCAGAGGGAGGGAGTGGCCAAGGGCCCTGGGTCGACCTGTGAGCGTATCAGGCCTGGCGGGGCCAGAGTGCTGCTCCGCCCAGCCCGGCCCACGTGGCGACGGGGCTTGGACAAGTCACGTGACCCGGTTGGGGGGGCGCGCCCCGCTCCTCCTGCTTCCCCTCCCCGTCGAGCCCTCGGCGACTGTGCCCTCTCCCCACCAGCTTCCGACCCCTCCTCTCACCCCACCCTGAGGTCTGACCAAGATGAAGGCGGCGAGTGTCTGGAAGTGTTCCAATCTCCGGTTGAAGCCAATTTCTGTGGGACTCAGTTTCCCCAAGTTTCAAATGGAGACAATGATTCCAGACCCTCCCACTTCCCAGGGCGATTATCAAAATAACACCATGCGGCAAAGCCACACGGATACGGCGGGCGTTGCAGGACTACACTGGGTAGCCCCTTCCTCCAGCACAGCCTCCTGCGACAACTAGCCCCAAACTGGCTGGTAGAACCCGGGGTTATCTCCGACCTCCCGATGTGGGCGTGGTTTCTCCAGCAGAGTTCCGGCACACTTCCTGTGTGCTAGGTGGGGAAGAGAGGAGGCACACTTTGGGGCTGTCCCCATTGCTGTTTGCTCCGTTATTCCCCACAAGCCAGGGAGGGGGGCACTGATGACCCTAGCTCACAGATGAGGAAACGGGCCGAGAGGTCAGTCAGCCTCCAGGGTGTCATCGGCCAGGGTGTAAGTCTTGTCCACCTGGGAGCTCTACCTAGAAACCTGACCTCGAAAAAGCCCGGCAGAGGAGAGTCACCCTTGGGTTTGAGAAAAGGGTGGGATTTGGACAGTGGTGGGAGCCATTTCTTGTTGGGAGAAGACTTGAGAGGCGGGCAGGGTAAAAGTGAGCTGGAAGGCAGAAAGGAAGGGGAGGGCCCTCCTGGAGGGGAGGACAGGTGGGCCAAGCCAGGATGCCCAAATAGTCATTGCCTCAGGATGGATCTTGGTACAGGCACCTCAGCCTAGAGAACTAGCTCTGCCCAGCCCCCGCCTCTCCCCCAACACTACTCCCTGCCCTGCACACCCATGCTCCAGTCACGTTTTACTTGCATGATCCCAGGCACAACTTGAAAGTCACCTCCTCTGGGGAGCCTTCCGGGATTGAACCCTGTTGGAGCATGTGCCACTTCCTAGTGACATGTACATTTACTAGTCCGTCCCCCCTCTCCCGCTCCGTCTCTATCTCTATGCTCACTGTGTGCCCAGCACCAGCACCCAGCCTGGGGCCTGGCATGGGGCGCGGGGCGGGGGGGCGGGGGCGTCTAGAAAACCAGGAGCGGAAGCAGGCAGGGAGGCAGAAAAAACACTGGAGCTCTTTAGGGATGAGGGGGGCCCTCAAGGAGGCGGAGAGGGAGAAGGAGGAAGCACAGGACCGCGGGGCCTCCCAGGGGGTCCCAAGAGAGAGAAAGGGCCGAGATAACTCGCCGGGGCGGGGCATGAGTGCAGCGAGTTCCTGAGCGCTTCCTATAGGCCAGGCGCTGGGCCGCTTCGGCTTAAGTGCCAAAGATCGAGGCGGGAAGTTGAGAAATAACGCCTAGGGCCTCTGAAAATCGAGCAGCCCTGAGTGGTCGGACCCACCCCCTAAGGTATTGCACTATCGCGCCCTCTGAGCCGAGCGGAGCCGGGGCTACCGGCGGATAAGGGCCGGGGCCTGCGCCCAGCCGACCGCAGCCCCGCAGGGTCAGACCTTCGGCCCAGAAGCCGCGGGTCCCCCGTGGGGAGGGGAAGGGCCCGACCCCCGCCCAGCGCGCACGCGCAGCGCCTCTCACCTGCCTGCTGGCGCTCCGCGCCCCCTCAGGAAGTGCGGGCCTCAGTGGAGCGCGGAGGAAGTGCCGGAGGCGGGGGAGAGAGGAGTGCGGGGAGGCGACGGCTAGGGGTGCTGGGGTTCCTGTCATGTGACCCCTCCCCTCGGCTCTCTCGCAGCCCCGCCGGGAGTGGCGGGAGCCAGTCGGAGGACGGTCTCTAGGTCCCTTGTCCCCAGGTGAGCTGGGTGCAGCGTGAGGGGAGGGGGGATCGTGAGGGGGTGGAAGAGAGAACTGAGGCCGAGGAGCTGCTGGCAGCTGGCGGGGAAGGGGTGAGAGCCGCTGCTGAGGGGCAGAGGGGTCCCTTCCTTCCTTTCCCACGGCCGGGGCTGTAGCCACGCTTCCCCATTTGGGTTCCATGGGGGGCCGGGGTGGACCCAGTCCCGGGATCTGGACCACCAGGTAGAAGACAGAGGAGGTCCCAACACGTCCGGATTCGAGGTGTTGCAGTATGCTGAATCCAGGGAACTGCTGGGGTTTGCGGCAGAGAGGTCTTCCCAATGGGAGAATCGGCACGTGGAATTGTCCCTTGCCAGGGGGCGATGGGGAAGGGCTGCGGCCACTGGTAACCGGTTGCGGTGGGGCAGAGCGGGCCTTGGGCTCCACCGCACTTAACTGTGGCCACACCTGGCCTTGGCTTTGTTTGTGACGTCCCATCTTTCCGAGCCCTTTGGACCTTTCTCCCCGTCTGACAGATGGGGAAACTGAGGCCATACGTTGCTTTGAGATGTGGCTGGAGACTGAGCCAGATCTCCTCCAACAGCATCCCCTCCCAGGAGGGGGAGCATTACAACCCCAACTTCAACCCCATCACAGAGATGCTGAGGCAGTGGTCGGTGCAGGCCTCAGGGGAGCCAGAACCTGAGCCGGCCGGCGAGGAGCTGTGGGAGCAGGAGATGGAGCGGCTGTGCTCCTCCCAGGAACCTGTGCGGCTGCTGCCCTACGCCATGGTGGACAAGCGCTTCATCCGGTGGGTGCCCGAACACCTTGCCGAACACAGCGGAGGAGGAGCAGTGGGGGTGGGGAGAGGATGCACCTGTTGGTTGGCGGGGTGGAAATCACCAGCAGTGGGAAGACTCCCTGGCCCAGGGTGCTGCTCTGCCTGGCCAGGTGGGCATGCTGGGTGACTCAGGGACCCCTCTCATCACCACCCCATCCCAGGCAGCTGCGGGAGCCCGAGGGGGTGAAGACCTCGTGCTGGCAGCAGTGGCGTCACAGGCAGCAGACTGCAGGACGGCGCCTGGGGGAGGCAGCACGGCGGCTGGCCCGGGGCTGTGGGCTCTGGGAGGGGGCTCTCTACGAGATCGGGGGTAGGACCCGAACCCCAATCCCCACCTCCTGCCTCCCCTCTCTGGAGTCTCAATGTCTAGTTTGGAAACCAGAGGAGGGCATTATCCCCCTGGCCATTGTACCCCTCCACCCCCACCAACCCACCCCGCCTTTCTCACACATCCCCCTCTGCCCCCTGAGCCACCCTTCAAACCTTGGTGGATGATGGCACCCCTGGTGGCTGTTAGAGGTACTGCTAGGCCAGCCTCCAGGACTGGCCGTTACGCTGAGGTCCCTGTGAGGCTGCTCACCCACCCCCCACAACCCTCAGATTATCAGCTGGGCCCACGGCTCGGCGCCTCCGGACCCACCTGCTGTTCCCCGCAGGCCTCTTTGGCACCGGAATCCAGTCCTACTTCACCTTTCTTCGCTTCCTGCTGCTGCTTAACCTGCTGACCCTACTTCTGACCACCAGCTTCGTCCTGCTGCCCCTGACCTGGCTCCGCCCCCCTGACAGAGGACCTGCTCTGAACTTCAGTGAGTGCCTGGCCCACGGAGGGAACAGTGCCCCCGAGCCCACCTGAACCCTGTGGGGCCTGGTCCACTGGGACAGCCCCAACCCTCTGTGTCCAAACCCTGGGCATCGTCCTGCTTGGGTCCAGCCGTGAGGCTCTACTCGATCTCGCCTTTTGCATAACAGGCCTCCTGACATGCCCTCATGACCCTGCTCAGGCCTCCTGAGATTGGAGGCTATGGAGTGAGAGGGGCAGAGTCTCACCTATGCCTTGGGGACCCTTCCCTATTGGACCCCTCTCCCTCCTCGACAGCCCTCCAGTGTCCTGGTGGCCACCAACCCCAGACTGGTGTTCCCAAGTTCAACAATCTACTTTGGAATGTTTTAACCGGCAGGGTGAGTGGGTCTGTACTGGCTGTGGACCAGGGAGGCTGGGGAACCTGGTGATCTAGCCTCAGGGAACCCCAGTCTAAGAGGACCCTCACCCCTCCAAGGGCACGTTGGCTTCTAGGGAGACGGTCCTCCACAGACAGGCTGGCTGGGTCAGCAGTGGGGTCAGAGAGAGGCTGAGGCCACTGTGCACAGCCCAGGCCCATGGACATGTGCCCACAGCCCTCAGAGCCCAGCTGGGGTCGGGGTTTGAAGGACAAGAAGGGAAAAAGTGTCCAGGATTCTGGGATAAGCACCACCCTACCCTCATCCCTGGAAGCCACTGGGTGGTTACCGTGCAGGCTCCCGTGTTCCAGTCCTGGCTCTTCTTCCAAGCTGTGTGTCCTTAGGCTAGTTGGCCAACCCTTCTGAGCCTCTGTGAAATGGGGATACTCTTATTCTCTACCTGATGGGGTCACTGTGAGGGCTAATGTGTTAACAGCAAGAAAACACTTAGCACACAGCCTGGCTCACTTGTCATTGTCTGACATCCCCAGGCCTTCAACAACACCTATCTCTTTTACGGCGCGTACCGAGCGGGGCCTGAGAGCAGCTCAGTATACAGCATCCGCCTGGCCTACTTACTGAGCCCACTGGCCTGCCTGCTCCTCTGCTTCTGTGGGATTCTACGGCGGTGAGAGCAGAGCCCCTGCCTCCACCCCTTTCCAGGGGGTCTTCCCTGATCACCCCTGCTTGGCGTGGTACCCCCAAGCTGGCAGGGAGTCCCTGCCAATGGAGGTTCCAGGGCCTCAACTCTGCATCCCCAGCTGCAGACCTCAGGAGCGGGGCCACCGCTCCTGTGTCCCCACCCCCCCACCCAGGCCGAGGCCAAAGGCTGCACTTAGGGCTGCCTGGGACTTCCCACCCCAGATCAGAGCCGAGCTGAGGCTGAGCCCTGGCCTCTGCCCCCTCCAGGATGGTGAAGGGGCTGCCACAGAAGATGTTCCTGGGCCAGGACTACAGGTCACCTCTCAGCGCCAAGGTCTTCTCTTCCTGGGACTTCTGCATCCAGGGGCAGGAGGCAGCTACCATCAAGAAGCATGAGATCAGCAACGAGTTCAAGGTGTGTGTGAGGATGTGCGTGAGTGTGAGTTGTGAGAGTGAATGAGTGTGAGAGCACGTGAGACTGTATGAGTGTGTGGCTTGAGTGTGGGAGTGTGTCTGTGTGTGTGTGTGTGCACACACGGTTTTCCAGCTGGAGGCGGGGGCTGTGCCGTGTCTGGGTGTGAGCGCTCACCTGCACGGTACTCTGGGGATGCTCTGGACAAAACCAGCCCGTCTGTCCCCGCCTCAGCGTCACCCCAACCTTGCCTAGAGCCTGGCAGCCTTTCTCCCCACGCACACCGACCTGGGGCTGTTTGCCAGCCCCCTCCGCTTCCACCTGGGCCCGCCCTAACCCACCTGTGCCCCTGCCCCTGCCCCCGTGACAGGTGGAGCTGGAGGAGGGGCGTCACTTGCTGATGGTGCAGCATCAGACCCGGGCTCAAAGGGCCTGCCACCTGCTCACCTACCTGCGGGTCAACATCCTCATCGGGCTTCTGGTGGTTGGGGCCATCAGTGCTATCTTCTGGGCCACCAAGTACTCGCAGGACAACAAGGAGGTGCCAGGCGACTGACATGCATTTATTTAATCCTGGCCAGACCTGGGGGAGGAGACGGGATGGTCCCACTTTGCAGAAGAGGAAACCGAGGCTCACAGAGGTTAAAGCAATTTGCCCAAAGTCATAACCAAGTCAGACAGGCTCTACCTCTGGATACCCCCTGCTGCCACTGGGAATAATCCGTGGGCTTCCAGATTCCGGGCCTGCACCAGAGTTACACTTGAAGGGGGCCGTAGGGGATAGGGGAGCCGCTGGGGGCCCTCCAGCCCACGGCACCCCCTTATCCACTTCTCCCCACAGGAGTCCCTGTTTCTGCTGCTCCAGTACCTGCCCCCTGGGGTCATCGCCCTGGTCAACTTTCTGGGTCCCCTGCTGTTTGTTTTCCTGGTCCAGCTGGAAAACTACCCTCCCAACACTGAGGTCAACCTCACCCTTATCTGGTGAGTGACACCTGGGGGGGTGACAGGTGGGACGGAGTGTGGAGGGCATGGAAGGGCTGTGTCCTGCCGCCTGTCTTGGTTATCACCTGGCATCAGGGGTCCCGTGCAAGGGAAGGCAGGCAGCTGCTCCCACACACAGTCTGGGGGGCCCCGGTCTAAGGTTCTCCAGTCCCCACCATCCAAAGCAAGCCAGTGACTGTTTTTGCCAGGACACGTTGGGTGCCACAGTCACCCACCTAGGAACACAGCTCCCTCCCATGTGCCCCGAGGGTTTCCACCCCTCACCTTGACACCCTCACGTGACCTGTGAAGTTAGGACCATCCTCACTGCCACTGGATAGGTGAGGACACTGAGGTTTGAAAGGGTCAAGCGCCTTGGCCAAGGGAGGCTCCCCATGCCTGCCGGGTGCAGGTTCAAACTCAAGCCGTCCTCCGCCCCCAGGCTCTGCTCTGTCTCCTCTCCCAGGACTCGGGTCCTGCCTTGGACCCACCCACCCACAGGACCCCACACACACAACAGCTCCAGCCCAGGTTCTCTTTCCGTCTGCCACCCTCCCCTCACTTGGCACGGTCTGCTTTTCCTCGGGCTTCCCTGGCACAGAAGCTGTCCGGAGCCCATTCTGCGTATCTACCCATTCCGAGGTAGATTGTGTTTGCTTTGAAATTTTATTCTTGGAATGAGTAATAGCACGTGCACATGGTAAAAAAAAAAAAATTCAAAATGCTCAAAAGGATGAAAGATAAAAATAAGCCCCCACCACCCCTGCCTTCCTCAACACAAGAACCACTGTTTCCGGCCATGTATCAGCCTTGAAAGTCCACACTTCATGGGATTTCCCTGGCGGTCCAGTGGTTAAGACTCCGTGCTTCCAATGCAGAGGGCGCGGGTTCGACCCCTGGTCGGGGCACTAAGATCCCACGTGCTGCGGAGTATGGACAAAAAGTGAAAAAAAAAAAAAAAAAAAAGGAAGTCCACACTTTGATATAACGTGCAGGCAATCGTTTGGGGTTAGGCCACCCTACCTGTGTGATCCAGTTACATGTTATTCAGGAGTATGCATGCACGTGTTTGTGATATATGGACAGTGTAAACGGACTAGGGCATTAATAGGCCCTAGAAGAGAGATCTCACCTGCATTAATGATATAAAAGCACGTATGTGCCTGTGAATCTCCAAGCTGGGTGTGGGGGGAGGATGGCTGGACTGTGCCGTGTTTCCCAAACTGATGTAAACAGAACCATTCTCCTGTGAATCATCTGGAGACCAAGATTCTAGGGAACGCACTTTGGGAAATATTGCCACGCATGGAGCAGTTTGGAAGGAGGCTGGGCTCTGGGTTTCGAGGGGGCTGGGCCCGGGAGAGACTTGAGCTCATGCAGATGTCAGCCACACCTGTGTCCCGAGTAGATGTGCCTGGGCTCCTCCCCTGACACAGTCCCCGCCCCTTCCCCTAACCCCCAGGTGTGTGGTGCTGAAGCTGGCCAGCCTGGGAATGTTCCCCTTCTCGCTGGGCCAGACTTTGCTGTGCTTTGGCAGAAACAAGACCAGCTGTGAGTCCTACGGCTACAACGCATGTGACTACCAGGTGGCCGGTGACTCTATCAGGGCCTGTCCCTCCTGTCCTCTGCAAAGCCCCACCTCTTTGAGCTCCTCGTCCTTCTCAGGGTCTCACCTTTGTGAGAGGCTGTGGGCAGAGTTGCCCACCCAGCAGTCACCTCCAGGGGGCGCCATTCACATCACATTCTGCGCTGTGCAGAGAGGCAGCCCAGACTGTGGGCTTTGTCTGCTCAAATCTTATCCCAGGCCTGGGTTTTAACTTAGCAATCATATCAGACTCCAGGCAAGGCTCCTAGACCACAGAGTCCCCCAACGGGCGGGTGAGGGGCGGTTGGGGACCGAGGGTAGTGACAGATGCCCCCTCTGACCAGTGCTGGGAGAACTCGGTGGGGGAAGAGCTGTACAAACTCAGCATCTTCAACTTCCTCCTCACGGTGGCCTTCACCTTCCTTGTCAGCCTGCCTAGGAGGTGAGTCACGTGGGGACACTACGGGGGTGGAGTGGGCGTGTCTGGGGGTGGCCAGTGGCCACAGCCAGGGGGGAGCAGTTCTACATGCCTGTTACCGTGTGAGTGTGTTATGGTCCACAGCCAGGACCAACGAGGTCCACACACTTCTGGGTGGTGGGTACCTGGGCACTCCCCTCCCCCAGGCTGCTGGTGGAGCGGTTCTCGGGCCGGTTCTGGGCCTGGCTGGACCGGGAGGAGTTCCTGCTGCCCAAGAACGTGCTGGACATCGTGGAGGGCCAGACAGTCACCTGGATGGGCCTCTTCTACTGCCCCCTGCTGCCCCTGCTTAACAGCATCTTCGTCTTCCTCACCTTCTACATCAAGAAGGTGAGGGCTCGGGGGCTGGGAGGGAGCAGGGCCGCACCTGTGTGGGCACCTCGAGCGCCAGCAGCAGAGCAGCCCTCACCTCCTGCTGCTGCCCCGCCGGGCACCTCCCATCTGCACACTGCGCTGAGGCCCCTGTGTCCTTGCTCGCTCCTTAGTACACCCTGCTGAGGAACTCCAGGGCGTCCCCTCGGCCATTCCGCGCCTCCAGCTCCATCTTCTTCTTCCAGCTGGTGCTCATCCTGGGCCTGCTCCTGGCCGCTGTGCCCCTGGGCTATGTGGTCAGCAGGTGAGGGGAGCAGACGGGCTGAGGCTGCCGGGCCGGCAGCTCGTCACCCGAGCACTGACACCGGCCCTCCTCTGGCGGTCTCTCCCCAGCATCCGCTCCTCCTGGGACTGTGGCCTCTTCACCAACTACTCAGCCCCCTGGCAGGTGGTCCCAGAGCTGGTGGCCCTCCGGCTCCCACCCCCTAGCCAGCGCATCCTCCACTACCTGGGCTCCCACGCCTTCAGCTTCCCCCTCCTCATCCTGCTCAGGTGCCTTTCAGGGCAGCAGGGGCCGAGGGAGGGGGCACCCCCAGCCAGTCTCATGGGATCTGGGGGCCAGACAAGGAGAGCCCAAGGTCGCAGGGAGCCAGGGGCCCAAGGGCAGGTGGCCTGGGGATTGCCCTGTGCCCCTGGGCAGCCCCTGAAGGCCCTCACCTGTAAAGCGGGCACTTTAAGTGACCACTGGGGAAGCACGTCGCCTGGTGCAGACACGCTGTGAGCCTGCCGCGCTTGTTATTCTTACTACATTTAGAGGAGAGGGGCTGAGCGACCAGTGGGAGGAAGGAGAGGAGAGAGAAAGCGGTGTCTAGGAACCTGGAAGAGAGAAGACCCCGGGAGGTGGTTTTTAAGAGACTGGGGTGGGGAAGGAGGAAGTAGGGGGGCTGACTGACCTAGCATCCCCGTCTATCCAAAGCCTTGTCCTGACCGTGTGCGTCTCCCAGTCCCAGGCCAGCGCGAGGGCCATCCGGGGGCTCCGGAAGCAACTGGTGTGGGTGAGTGTCCGCCGGACTGGGGAGGGGTCACGGACTCCGGGCAAGACCCTGTCGGGATTGTGGCCTCAGGCCGCGGATAGAAGTGGGGAAGGTGGAGGGAGGGAACCGGTGCCTCCGGCCGGGAACCAGTCAACAGGAATGTGGCTTTAGGCTTGGGGACCCAGTTTAACGGGAGTGTGGGCTTGGGCTGAAGTAGGAGGTGAAACTGGTGGGGGCGTGGTCTCTGGCCAGGCTGGGGCGGGACCTGATGGGGCGCGGCCTTGGGCTGGGGCGGGATCGGGAGGGGCGTGGTCTCTGGCCCGGCGGGGCGGGTCTAGGGATAGGGCGGGAGATTGGTGGGGCGGGGCCGTAGCGGGGGCGGGGAGGGGAAACTGGTGGGGCGGGGCCTCGGGGCTGCTACTGCGAGGTGGCCGCTTCTCCCGCGGCAGCTGGTGAGAGGAGGCGCCGCTCGTAAACCGGCCGCTCGCTCCCCTCTTCCGCCCCAGCAAGTGCAGGAGAAGTGGCACCTGGTGGATGACCTGTCGCGGCTGATGTCGGAGCCGGGCTCCGGCGACTCTCTGGGGCCTGAGTCCCCTCACTCCCGAGGTTCGCGCCCGAGATCCTTCTGCCCCGGATTCCCGTGCCCGGGCTCCCCGGGACCCAGGGCCTCCAGGCCGGAACCCTCCCTTGAGGATCCTAACGGGTTGCGCGGTGTCCGGGTCCCCGCCCGTAGCTGCCGCTTCCCCAGCGGTTCGGAGCTGTAGCACCGACCCCCACCACCGCCCGGAGCTTCCCCAGGGCCCCGTGTGCAGCTCCCCACTTCCTGCTCCCTCGCCCCACGCTCGTGACCCCAGGTGACCACCGCCTCTCTCAGTGGGCCCTCCAGCAGGGTGCCTTAAGGTGGGGTGCATATACCTAGGGGCATCAAGAAGAAAATATGGGAACTTGTATTTATATTTTTATCTCAATCCTTAAAAGTTTCTATTTTTGTGGAATGTTTTATAATATGTTAGTATAGTAACCCATGAATGCAGTTTATAAATACACATCCATTGGCAGTGCTCAGGAACTGTTTACCCTGGGCAGTACCATTATAAAAGTCCAGAGACCTCCACCTGCGGGAAGGGGAAGGCCTGGCCGCAGTGAGAGCAAACAGTGGGGGCTTACTGTGCTCTGACTGCAGGCACCCTACACAACCTCCTGTAATTCCTCCTTCACGTGTGAGACCACTGAGACCCACAGACGTTATGAGTCAGCAAGGGGCAGAGCTCAGATCTGACCTGCATCAGGAGACACTCCGAGTGTGGGCCCCGGGAGGTAGCGGAGCCCGCTGCCCAGGAAGGCAGGGCTGCGTCCAAGATTCCCAAGCCTCGGGTGCCGAGGCTGCAGAGGTTCTCAATCTGTGGTTCTCAGCCTCGGAGAACTCCTGAGAAGCCCCGTCAGATGCTGGCCCTGTGCCAGCGACTCTGACGCCATTGGTCCAGGTGCAGCCAGCAGCCAGACATCTGGACTTTCTAAAGCTCCCAGGTGACTCTCACCGGCAGCCAGGGTTGAGGATTGCTGGCCTAAAGAGCTGTCAGGAGGGAAGGTCAGGAGAAACCCCAGGACGTGCTTGACGAGGCTCTACTTCCAGCAGCAGGAGGCCAGCGCCTGGCTGGATTCCCAGCCTGGACACGGCATCTGGGCGGCTCTGGCCCGGCGCCCTCAGTCCAGGGGCTTCACGTGGTCGTTGCAGTCTTGGCTGGTTCAGCTCCTCCTGTCGCTGTCCCTCTCTCTCACTCACCCAGCATCCCATGACCCATCCGCCTGTCAACAAGTGCCGGGCCCTGTTCTGGGGCCGGTGAGGAGACTGCGGGAGACACAGGGAGCTACGTGCTCAGCTTGGGGAAGGCAACCAGTCTGGCCCCAAAGAAGGCGACACACGTTGTTAATTAGCAGCTTAGGGTCGACGTGTGGTCCCGGACCAGCAGCACCAACATCACCTGGGAACTTGATAGAAAAGCCAGTTCTCAGGCCCCACCGCACCTCCTCTAAGGGTGGAGCCCAGCGATGTGGTTTAACGAGCCCCCAGGGGTGAGGCTGTTGCGTGCGAAGCGGGAGAACCTGCAGCACTGAGGCATCCAGGTCCTTCTCATCACCTTCACGTGCCTTCAGAGAACCCGCCAAGTGCATCACCGGATGTGAGGGGGACGAGCTTCGGGACCTTGAGGAACTCAAACTCGGGGCCTCAGTTTGCTTGACCAAAGCCTGGGGATGACACCACCCTCCTCTGCGTGGTTGTGAGGACTGAATGAGCAGTTACTTATGTAGTGTCCTTCCTAGGAGAGCAGTTGAGGCCCTATTACAACATGGTCATTGGCCTAAAGGAGCAAAGTGGGAGAGATGGGAAGGGGCCCTGATGGCCCTGTGACCGTGCCGGCCCAGCGAGGCAACCCGGGGCTCAGGGGGGAGCCATCGCAGTCAGCAGGAGGGTTTCGTGGAGTGGGCGACTAGCGGGGCCTTGGGGGACGGAGGACTCGACAGGAGGTGAAGGCAGAGGAACGGCCTGAGCCACGGTGTAGAGATGGGCCGGGCGGGCCTGAGCTGTGGAAACTGGGACTCTGAGGCCTCTAGACTGGGCTCTGAGGCCCACGAGGACAACCAGAGTGAAGGCGGAACCAGCACACCTATGGCTGGGCTTGGAGAGCCCGGGGGTCCGGTAACGTTGAGCGTCTACCAGCAGCAAAGAAGACACACGTGGGTAGGGAGAGGCCCGTGGGGTTATTGCAGTAAGTGAAGCCAGGGTCTCTCCAGGTGCAGGAGCCCCAGTGCCTCCACCTTGGGGTGGGGGTGGGGGTCCCGGACTCTCCCCACCCAGCCCTGAGAGGGCTCCCAGCTACTCTGGCCAAGGCAGCCCAGCACAGATTCCCACCCAGGGGACCCTCCCAGGAAAGTGACGCAAGGAGGTGCTGGTAAGGCCATTTATCATAGAGGAGACTGGCCCTCGGTGGGCAGGAATCACGAAATGTCAGTCTAGTGGGTGACAGGAGAGCTTTGCGGACACCCTGACTCCGCTCCATCTAGGTGACCTGGGCTCACCTGGGGCAACCTACTCAGTGCTGTCACACCTGCAGCCTGTGGAGAAGAGGCGCAGAACAGCTCAGAGAAACAGCCCTCATTTGGTGGGGCACACAGGTGATGGCTGGAGAGGGGTAGTCGGGGTGAGGCAGTAGAGATGCCCCCGGTCCCACCAAGGCCTGGGGGAATTGTCCCTCGAGTCCACCCACCGTTCTCTGCTCTGACTCTGGCTCCCCAGACACACCGATAAAAGGGGGAGGCTTCTCATGAGCTGCCTCAGCTCGAATCAGAAGCCCTGAGCACAACGTAGAGGAAAAACCTCGAGCTTCTGGGACTTCAGGCAACAGATTGCCCACAGCTGAGGGGACCCTTCTGCCTGCCTTCAGTCGTCAGTTCCTTCCACGCACCCCTCCCGGCAGAGTGAGAACAGACTTTCTGGAAGGGAATTTCGCTAGGAAAACTAAGAGAAGATTAGCTTTTGCCCAAATGCAGAGAGGTAGGTGGGTCCCCAGAGCACATCCCCAGGGGTACGAGTCAGGACTCTGGGTGGCAAGGGACAGATGCTGATTCTTGCCCACTGAGGAGAAGGGACCACCGAGGTGACAAAGCCAGTCCTCAGGGGAGCTCCAGGACACTGTGCCCAGGCTTGGGCAGGGTCATCCCACCAGACCAGCTTCCCAACACGCCCAGGCCTCAGTGGGTGCCCCTGAGCCGGGCCTAGGGGCCCCAGGGCAGGGCTGTAACTGGCCTGCCTTGGGTCAGGTGCCGGTTCCCGGGCTGTGCTGGGGATGTGAGTGCCACTGACCTGTGAGGCTCTGTAGGAGAGAAGAGCCAGCATAGGAAGCAAATTGTTCCCTGGGGGCGGGACATCCTCCCTGAGGAAGGCACCTGTGTGCGAGTCAAAGCTCCATGTTCTGTGACAGCAGGAGAAAAACACATGTGCAGCTGTGTCAGTGTAGAAACAGGGAGTGTTTCAATAAAGTCACTTCATTCATTTAAAAAAAAAAGCCTCTGTGGGATTGGATGGGTCCTAGTCCCGCCTTACCTGCTCCCTCTCTTCTCTCTGCCCTGAGCCCCCAGCCCTGAGGGGTCCAACCCACCAGTTCTTCAGAAGGACCCTCATGATGACATCAGGCCCACCTCGATAATCTGGGATAATCCCCTCGTCTCAAAATCAGCGGGTTAGCAAGCTTAATTGCCCCTTGCTGGCTACCAGTGCCTCCACCTTGGGGTGGGGGGGTCCCGGTGAGGATTCCAGGGTGAGGACACGGACATCTTCTACCCTGGGGTCCTACAGCTCGGCAGTGGTGGTGACTGTGAGCCCTGGTTTGGCTCCTGGCCCCTCCTAACTCCCTGGGGGTGTGGGGAGAGTCGCCGTCCCGGGCCCAGCCCTGGGGCGCTGTGGCATCCCGGTTATCTCCCCGCTGCAGGCACGCACCCACCCAGGGAGCACCCAGAGGCTCTGGAGTGGAGGTGGCCTCGCTCGAGGAAGCGCTTGCCCTCCTGGCTGAGGGCCCCGCGCGGCAGAGGCATGAGGGTCCTGCGGCTGCTCTGCTTGGCTGCGCTAGGTGAGCTGCCCAGGGACGTGGTGGGAGGGGGCCGCTGCCAGGGCCTTGAGGTGGCAGACTCAGGGTCCAGGGGTCTAGGGAGCACAGGAGACACCTCTGGAAGCACAGGACAGAGAGGGGAAGGTTTAGGCTTGAGTCTCAGACCAGCCAGTTATTGCTTCACCACTCTGGGCCCACTCTACTCATCTGCAGAATGGGCTGATGATACGAAAGGCTCCGGCCTCCAAAGAGCTTCTGTGAGTGAAGGTGCTCGTGGAGTCCTGGGCCTCCTTCTGGGCTCAGGATGAGGCTCTCTGAGCGAGCTCTGGCCTCCCCTCCACCCTGGGCTCTCCTAACTGCCCTCCCCTCTCTTACAGCCACCAGCAGCTCCGCAAAGCAGGAGAAAGGTGAGTTTCCCAGCATGCTGGAGGGCGGAGTACCCCCAGATGGGTACCCTGGAGTCAGAGGCCCCACCCACGGTAGAGGCCTTGGCCGGCCAGGGGAAGGGTGTTGCGGGTGAGTGGCGTCTGCTGCTAGACCACTGGAAGGTTCTGGACCCCAGCCTCAACCCCTGCAGGGCCCTGGAGGGTTGGAGAAGAGAAAGCTCTGCAGGAGGTGGGAGTGGGCGGGACAACAGACAGACGGTGGGGACAGTGACGTGGGGCAAGGAAAGTGCTTGGCTTCCCCTTGGGCTGTGTGTGGTGGGGGGGCGGGTATTACCAGCGGAGGCGGGCAGAGGGCGTGTCCCGGGCAGGTGTACCCCAATCACTCTGAGTGCCTGATCTGTAGCAGAAGCCCCTGGGGTGGGTGTGACCCCAGGGCAGGCTGGGGGCATTCTGGTGGGGTGCCTTGGCCCAGGAGGAGGGCGAGTGAGAGAATGAGGAAGTCTGGGCTCCCCCAACTCCCCCCTCCCTGAGGTCCAGCAAAGGGGAAACTGCCTGACTCTCAGAGGCAACAGGAAGGTGTCAGGGCCCCTCTCTCCACCAGCCGCCTGGTGTAAGAGCCAGTGAGAGGGGAGGCTCCCGGTGGCCGTCCCTCCTCCCCTCAGCTTTGGCCGCCTCCGTCTTTCCACTCCCCTTCCTTCTCCTGCCCTCTCCCCTGCCCCCACTTCCAGCCCTGTGACCCTTAAAGTCAAGGTGGTCAGTCACCTCCTCCTCTCCACATCTCTGCAAGGGCGGCTGCCCTTCCTCTGGTCTCGTCTGGACCTGTAACTTCCCTGGTCTCAGGGCTGCAGCTGCAGCCGCTTCTATTCCACTTAAGGGTGGACCTCACTTGAATGCCGCATGGGCTGAACTATCATTTCCTTATTTGCTTTAAAAACAAACATATCAAAAAAAAAAAAACAAAAAACACATCATGGTGTTTCCGCTAAAAGGAGAACTGTGCA